TTTTTACATCAGAACTTACCAGAATTAACTCTCAGCAAAGAGAGCATCTCAGTATGCAGCTTGAAGGGAATAATTTCTAAAAGAACACCACATAGTTCACATCACAGAGGCTCTGGTATTAATAGAAGAATCATAATTCACTTATATATCATCGGAATTTAAAATCAGCCTGATCAAGTTGTTGCTGACATTCAAAATGTCAGTGAATCGTGACTTCCAGTAGCTTTGTTCAATGCTTTAGTAACTATCATTTAATAATGACCTCATAATCATGATGGAAATTTTATCAAAAACAACTTGCTATACATTGAAAAATTGTTTAAAATTTAAGTTGCAATAAAATATGATTTTCTACTTCTCTACTTGTTGTAATAAAATAACTAGAAATTATACAATTACAATTATGCATAAATATAAGTACAAGATTTTCAGTGTGAGTTACTGTGTATGGGCTCATATACAAGTGATGAATGGATCATGCTACATTTAAAGGCTCTAAGAGAATAATTCTTGACATTTTCTCAAATATGATGGCTTCTCATATTCCTTAGCATGTGGCCACAAATGTTTCTATTCTGTGTTGATGGAGCCATCAAAACAAAAATGACAGAGAAGTCCCTCTCATATAAAAGCTGATGAGCTATCCTCAAAACCAACAGGATCTATGACCAATATAAAAGGATATTAAGGACCCTACAATAAGCTTATTTTTCCAAACATTATTTGAAATATTGATAAAAATAATTGCACAGAAGAAGTGAGGTCAGTCCCTGAAGAACAGAACAGACAGTAAAACAGCCACAAAAGTGAGTTGGGGACAGGATACTAAAGGATATAACAGATAGAATCCTGAAAAAAAAATTAGAGAGCACCAAATGCACATACTTATCAAATCTTCATAAACCAAGGAATTAAGTTCATCTGAGAGAATCAAATTCAGATGAAGAACACAGGACTGAGGCATGTACAGAGGGATTTAGCTGTGTTTTCTTTTTACTAAAGTCTGTTAATATTTTATACAACTGCAGAGTGCTGAATCACTCCAATTTCTACTTTTTTATCTTCTAAATATTATCACAACCTTTCATCTACAATGCATGTGGCATACTGAATTTACCCTCACACTTATGCAAATCATATTTATCTTTTTTCTATATAAATATATAGTTATGTGCACATAATTTTGCCCACATTTCCAAGATTATACTCTGTAAATTTATCTGATATCACCTCCATGAAATGCATTTTTGTAATTTTAGGTCATTAAATTTAAATATTCCAGTCTGTATATTTGGGAAAAATGGGACATTGCAATCACCTACCGATTTTACTAATTATGCACTAATATTAAAGACAAATGTTAATGCCTCCAGAAAATTAATTCTCATTTACCTGCTCATACATGGTGCTTTAGAGAGTCTCAAAACCTACAGTGGTAATTTGACTCAACCTCACCACTGAAGCTTCTAGATTACATTCCAGGTTGAACACTGGTGCTATACTTT